TCTGGTTGTTCTTTGATCGTGCATCAATTTCAACTCTATGTCTGGAATCTTTTTACCTTTTTCAAATTGACATGCTACACTCAAAGGACAGGCCGTACTACCCTTACAGACAGTCTCACATGTGCAAGACAAAGTTATATTGCATTTACATGCAGCAATATCAAACAGTTTGGTTCTTGCGTTCTGCACGAAAACTTCAACTTTTTTCTTATAAAAATCTTTTTCACAGTCTCGATTATAAGATTTCTTTAACACAATATTGTAGTAAGACTGGACCACACACGAGTGTGTGTGACCATTGGGATTGTGGCCTTGTTGTAAATTTCAACTAGGGTATTTGAGTTCCTACGGAATCAGCAATAGCTGAAAATCCTAATTCTTTCTTATTATTAGGGCTAAATAACAAAGAACGTTTATACTTCTCATCCAAGCAACAGAGCAGCATGTCCTCATATGTAGGCAGCGATAATCCACTTAGTTCTTTAGGCACTCCGATGATAGGGCACGCAATAGACTGTCTTGTAATACGCGGTCTGTTTCGAGATGCCATCTCAAAACTACAAAATATAATTACACTTTGTCACAATGTTGGTTATAACACTGGTTGATTGCACTAACTTGTAGCATTGGCATTAACGCGGATGAGTTGCCACTGACTGACATCACTGCCCGCCTCGGTGTCACGTAGCCTGGTCGAGTCTATTGTCGCCGGCGGAAGGGGTGTAAGCTTTGTGGATAGCTAAGTAATACTATACTCTCGGCCTTTTGCGCGAATACAGCCAAGGAAAAACAGATATGAAAGTATGATTTACGTGTTAGGAAAACTATTTAGAATAGTTTCCACACTATTACAAATTTAAATGAATAACTTTATGGTTTTGGCATATGTTTAAAAATTTTGAAAAATCATGAAAAATTGGTTTTTTACGAACAATCCTGCGACTTTAGGCCTTTTGCGCGATTTCAGTTCAATGGGAATGAATCTAATTTTTATTTATATGCATTAAGGCCAGTCTTTAAAGCACTTTTTTGACTATTAGGAAAAAAAATTGAAAATTTTTTTTACGTATTTTTGAAAATTACCGGTTTTTATTATTTTTGCCTTTATTATGACGTCTATGCGCAAGTTTTCGTCTATGCGCAAGTTTTCCTCGCTATTAGAATTTGATTTTTAAAAAATTAAAAATTCGAGCCACTCTACTGTACAGCCTATTTTTTGTGTGAAAAACAGTCTCATTGTTTGCTTTTGTCGATGTTATTTTCAATAAATTATTTGAATCATCCCAAAGGTTTCACTCTGCTAAAGGCAAACATATTAAGTTATTGTTTGTGAATGAATACTGGTTTTCAAAGGTAGCTTTCTTCTTGTGATTAATGATTACAATAAAATGCTCCCCTGATTGGAATTTTGGAAATCGTCTTCATGAAATATGAAAGGGCATATAAAGGTGTGTTGAAATAAGCCTAGTTCATGGTAAAACCCGCTAAATTAGAACCCACGACCCAGTTATTATTTATAATTTTACTCCTTTTGTAAAGGTTTAACAAAGTTTGTATAAGGCATCCCATTGGCCAAACTTGACCCTATATTTGTTTCTGATCAACATAAAAATAGAAACTACTCTTAGTGGAAGTTTATGTGGTATTTCCTCCTTCGGGTATTACTCCTAAAGGTATGATTGACTTTACATATTCTATCAAAATTGGCCTATTTAAATGTTCAGTGGGTTCATAGTTTGGACCACACTCAAGTATTCATTTGCTTCTTCACACATTTTCAAGTATTTAATTGTTAATAGGACAACATTTTTTTTAGTTATTTACAGCTAAAAAAAGCTAGTCATCGGCTGATTCCTTACTCTTTCAGCTCAGGTTAGATTTCCATTACCCAGTTATCGAAACCAATCACGAAATGACTTTTCATCAGCATTGACATGCATATTTTTAGTTGGTTTAAGAAACGGAAACTACCTCTAGGTTTTACTGTAATATATGGATGCCCCCTTTACCATCTATACTATGCATGCCAGGCTATATTATTTGAACCATTTTTTATTCTTGGAGCAACAGGCAGTGTCTGGTTAAAATCTCCTACAAACAATATTTTTATTCCGCCCATTTGGAACGTGTCATAGTAATTATTTTATGAAAAAATATGCCCGTACAAACCTATTTCATCTTTATTCCCAGGCGTCAAATTAAATGTTAAATTTACAAAAAAAGTTAAGGATAAATCTTTACTATGTTTTAAAATAAAAACAAAGCAGAAGTTACCAACTTGAATCGTTGATTATTTAGTCAATGTGTTTATTTTATGTTAAACATTCCTTCTATAGAATAATAAAGTTTAAATGTGAAGAAATGTAAAATAATTTTACTAACTTCGTAAACGTATGTTTTCAAATAAAAATAAACAAAATTGAAGTGTTTTAAAAGGGTCAATTATACACATTATTTAACTTTTTATCAAATTTCCTGTTAAAATGTTTTAACATAATTATTTTTCAGCCATTCCTTTAATTTGAGTCATCTCCCATACACCAATTTGCAAATATTGCACAGTAAGACAATTGATTCCAACTTTCTAAGACGGTACTAAAAAGTCTTAATTATTATTGGTAACGTTATCCCTGGTTTTATATAGTATTAGTAAACAGCACATTGCAGAATTGACTGGCAAAATCCAAATGTAATATTGTTTACTGGCTTAATGATAAATCACAATAAGCTGAATTGAGGCAAACAAAAATCAGCAGTAAATGGCTTCTTATGCTGTTCTTATGGAGAACATTTTACGTTATATCTAGTTTTGTGTTACATTTTTGGGAATTTCACTATTTTTCCCACCGTCACGAGATTTAGACCTTTAATTTGAGCCCTCTCCCGTCATTCTACAACTTTCCAGTCGCCCATAATTTTGACGCAAAGAATCGCCTTACGTAATTAATATATAGATATAGTGACAAATAATGGTTCTTTATACCTGGTTTTAAAAGGCCTCCCACTTTGTTCTACATAGGTGCTCGGGCAATCGGCACATTTTATGCGGTATACACCTGTCTTCTCATACCTATCACCTTGTGGGTGTTAACCTTTAGATATGCTTTGTAGCTGATTGGATGTTTTAAAAGCCAGTTTGACACCATGTTTATTAATTTTCAAGTAATGGTAAAATTCTCAAAATTGAACTTAATTATTGTAGCCCCTCATAGTATCTTAAGAAGGTTGCCGCAAACCGATTTCAAATATCTCAAATGGTTGAATAGTTAAGGGGGGGTGTAAGTTACTTTTCAGCCACCCTGTATAACACATATTCAATATTGAATACACCACTATATCTATTAAAATTCATTTTCATAGCCCCAGGATTGCGTTAGTATGACAAATAATAATAGTTAAACATACCTCGCCAGACAATCCTTAACATGTAGTGTCGAAATTGCTCCATATGTTTTGGCGGCTATTTAAGCATCTCCGCTATCGTCAGGCAAACAAAAGGATCCACTTGATGTGTCGTCAGAATAAATAAAACACACATTTACACAAAACATAAAAAACAATAGTGATAGGCCTATCAACTACACGCATTGCCGTGGACATGGCAGGGGGGTCCGCGGAATTTGCTAACTCTGGAACTTGCTAACCCCATGTTAAACGACCTATCTTCAAATTTGGTCGATGAGAGGAACTCGCTAACTCGTTCGGTTTTAGAATTGGCTAACTCCGGAACCCGCTAACCCGCTCTAGGGCCAGGTTAGCGAATTCTGTCCTCGTATAGAAGTCGCTAACTTGGTCCCTCGGCGGAACTTGCTAACTCCCAATCAGAAGCCTCGCGCGCTGTCCAAGCATGAAGATTATTGGCCAGTGTTGCCGAAAGTGTAGTACCTACGATCGTATCGGTACCATAATGCGCCGCTACCCTGCACGTCTGTTCCAAATGACGCCACATTATACGTTCCTAATCCAGATACTCTTAAAACTGTTTAAGAACAGGTTGCACTCAAAGAAAACCTAGTATAGGAACGGTAGTACCTTTTAACCTCATTAGCCAAAATGGGTGGAATCAACTTCACGTTATCTGTCCGCAACTATAATAATAATATTGATTAAGAAATGAAACTGTTCTAAACTACCTAACCTAACCAAACTTGCTGTAACATTTCAAAATTCCTTTTGATAGCACAATTCTGAAATGAAACTGTTCTTAACTTACCTAACCTAACCAAACTTTCTGTATCATTTCAAAAATTCCTTTTGATAACAGAAATGGCTTTCACGCTCAATCAACTGTTCTAGAACGTTCAATCTTTAACTGATTATGCTCGTCTTTCTCTTCAAAATATAAACATTTTTAAAGGAACCTCCATCTTCAAAGAAATTTAATGTGAGCGAGTAAGTAATTCATAATGGCTTCTAGAGTAACTGTTCCCTTTGCATTATTTTGCAATACTGGAATGGGATCGGGTTGTGACGTCATTTTGATAGTTTTTGAATAGTCACTTCGTAATGTTTTTAGCCAAGTGTTTTTGCCACGGCCACCCTTAACTCCAGGCCACGGCCTGGTAGAAATGGCAACGTTGTAAGTGGTATTGTCTAGCGCCAAATGTCCTGGAACTGTAATTTTATTTATATAGATATCACACGTGATGATGTCGGGAAAATGTGGAAGTAGTGTTTTGGCTTCCTACCTCATCCATTGTATTTGTTAGTGAACAATTGTAATCTCAGGATACACAATTCATTCAGGTGAACATACTTAACAATAATTATGGGTAAAGCTAAACTGAGGTGTATGGTCAATACAACCAACACTGGTAGAATCAAGTAGAAAAGTAACTGTTAGACTTATGCTAATATTTTGTGGACGCCCTTCATTCATAGGCACATGTATGAATTTGTTATATTTAGTAAATTCTCTAGCTTTAATATGAATGTGTAAAGTCACTTGCTTCAAGTTTGTTTGTTCTTAAAGATGATGCTTTTTTTTACAATTTTTGCAGGAGCGGTATGGATTGTCAGGAATGATAGCACGTAAAAGAGCAGGATTGCCTAAAGTTCCATTGGGGAGGGATGCAGAAGTGAGCACTCCCCCACCCCCCTCTATAGCCTCAGACACAGTAGAGGACTTGCCTGAAACATACTTAACTACTGCTCCCAATCTAACTGAGGGTAAGTTTCTCCCCTGTCACTTCCTGCCTTATCATTCTTAATAGGTCGTATCTTGGTCATAAACATAACCAATGTTACCCGCTATGGCAGCAAAATCTTAAAAAAAACCCCTGCTGCAAAAGAAACATTACCATTATCTTCAGCTGTTGCGGCAAAATTCTGAATATCTCCATCGGTCATGGAAACATCATCATTGTGTTCCACAATTGCAGCTAAACCCTGAACATCATACACGGTAACTGGATCATTAATGCCGTCTTCCACGACCGCGGCTAAATCATCAACTTTTCCTGCGGTCGTGCGGACATTTTCATTGTCTTCCACAATCGTTGTGAAATTCTGAATAACTTCCTTAGTAATGGAAACATCATCACTATCTTCTGCAATGGCGGCAAAATATTGAACATATCCCGTGGTCTTGGAAACATTATTGTCATCATGTGCGGTCGCTCCAAAAGTGTGAAATTTTTATCGTGTGATCTTCTCAGTTGTGTTGGATATTAGAAATGTATATAATCTTGGCGATCGTTTCTTGATACCGATATCAATGTCCAAGAATCGAATATCAAGAATTGGTATCACATCCTTAAACTAAAGTTAAGTTAACTGGAGCAATTAAAAGAAATAGATGAATTTATGACAATTGGTTTGAAATGTTTCAGTAACGACCTTGAGCCAGCGTCTGAATCTGATAGACTCGCAGCCTTTCAAGACAGAGGACATGATCCCTCCTCACCGTCGTCTGTACATAAAACGTTCTCAGCGTTGCCGAGAATGTGAACACAATATCTGTAAGCCAGAGTTCATCCCAGGGTCCATCAAGTTTAAAATTCAACTCGCCGCTTAGTAAGTTGTTTGGATCCAAAAGTGTTTCCATTTTATTCCAGGGGACAGATCCTTGCTCATTTGTGGTTAATTGGGTTTCATGGTTAAAACAATATCGTAAACAGACATTTTATAGTTTATGAAAAACATTTTCATTACAAACCATAGACATTTGGTCGCTGAAGTAATAAACAACTCTGTAATGTAAAAGTATGCCATATAGTCCAGGACCTGACTAGGGTTCTGTGTGCATGTCGTGTATAGTGAATTTTACTTTTGCATTTCAATATAGGTGTCTTAGGAAGTGTTTTCCACTCAGGTGTCAAGTTCGCACCTGGTACGTTTTCGAGCTATGACGTCATCAAAATGGCGGCCATTGATTTTTTTAAATTGTATATTTCGCAAACTATTTGTCGGATCGGAATGAATGTTTTTTTGTTTGAAAGATAATTTTAAATGCTACCTGTTTTACATTTACACATTTGTTGTATGTTTAGTACATTCTTCGTAATTTTGCAAAAACCTGTATTTTTAAATATTTTTGAGTTATTTTTGTTTGTAACGTTTTATTGATACAATTTATAAAAAACCACCAATGAAAAAAGTTGTAGAACATTTAAAAATCTTTACAAAAATACCAAATTCGATATGTTTTACTCAAAAGATTACGTCAAGAAACTAGATAAATCTCATAAAAACACCAATTTTGGCGCAAAAACGCCTATTAGTCCGGCATCTAGGGCAGTTCGCAAGTCTTATAAAGACAGTTTCGCCATACAATGTTGATGTACATACAATGTTGTCTAAATAAGTGTTTTCAACTCGGGTGTCACGTCTGCACCCACTGCAGTTTCCGGTTATGACGTCATTAAAATGGCGGAAAGGGCTATATTAAAAATAACGATATTTTACATACCATGTATTGGATCGGAATGAACTTTTTTTTCTTTGAAAGATAAGTTTACATGCTATCTTTCTTACATTTGCACTTTTGTTTAATGTTTAGTACATTTTTCGTAATTTTGCAAAAACCTATATTTTTAAACATTTTTGTGTTATTTTTGTCGATAACGTTTTATTGATACAATATATCAGAAATAACTTATAGACAAAGTTGTAGCACGTTAAAATAGCTTTACAAAAATACCAAATTCGATATGCTTTACTCAAAAGATCACGTCAAGAAACTAGAAAATCGTACAAAACAACCTAATTTTGGGCAAAAACGCATATAAATCCGACATTGATGGCTGTGTTCGAGTCATATATAGACAGTTTTACCATTCAATGTTGATGTATGTGTCTAAAGAAGTGTTTTTAACTCGGGTGTCACGTCTGGACCCACTGCAGTTTCCGGTTATGATGTCTTAAAAATTGCTACATGTTACGATTTCACCAGCTATTTTACTTAAAATAAGACCATTACCCTCTTTTATGCAAATAAAAGCACAACAAATCAATGTAATTAGTCCATAGGAATGTTTCCACTATATAAATACCCCCGGTGCAGCAATCCTTTCGACTAAGCGAATTTCCATTTGCATGGATTGAGATTTATATGCGTTTTTGCGCAAAATTAGGTTGTTTTGTACGATTTTCTAGTTTCTTGACGTGATCTTTTGAGTAAAGCATATCAAATTTGGTATTTTTGTAAAGCTCTTTTAACGTGCTACAACTTTGTTTTTAAGTTATTTCTGATATATTGTATCAATAAAACGTTATCGACAAAAATAACACAAAAATGTTTAAAAATATAGGTTTTTGCAAAATTACGAAAAATGTACTAAACATAAAACAAAAGTGCAAATGTAAGAAAGATAGCATGTAAACTTATCTTTCAAACAAAAAAAAGTTCATTAAGATCCAATACATGGTATGTAAAATATCGTTATTTTTAATATAGCCCTTTCCGCCATTTTAATGACGTCATAACCGGAAACTGCAGTGGGTGCAGACGTGACACCCGAGTTGAAAACCCTTATTTAGACACGTACATCAACATTGAATGGCGAAACTGTTTTTATAAGACTTGCGAACTGCCCTAGAGGCCGGACTAATAGGCGTTTTTGCGCCAAAATTGGTGTTTTTATGAGATTTATCTAGTTTCTTGACGTAATCTTTTGAGTAAAACATATCGAATTTGGTATTTTTGTAAAGATTTTTAAATGTTCTACAACTTTTTTCATTGGTGGTTATTGATAAATTGTATCAATAAAACGTTACAAACAAAAACAACTCAAAAATATTTAAAAATACAGGTTTTTGCAAAATTACGAAGAATGTACTAAACATACAACAAATGTGTAAATGTAAAACAGGTAGCATTTAAAATTATCTTTCAAACAAAAAACATTCATTCCGATCCGACAAATAGTTTGCGAAATATACGATTTAAAAAAATCAATGGCCGCCATTTTGATGACGTCATAGCTCGAAAACGTACCAGGTGTGAACTTGACACCCGAGTGGAAAACACTTCCTAAGACACCTATATTGAAATGCAAAAGCAAAATTCTCTATACACGACATGCACACAGAATTCTAGTCATGTCCAGGACTAAATCTTTCCCGGAACGTACACCACTTTCAGTGTTCGTTTACGATTTATTCAATCTCTTTGCTTTATCTTTAGGTCTAATCACATATTGTTTGGTATCATTGGAAAGGGTATAGAATCATCTGCAACTTTTGCAATGGGTGGTATTTGATTTTATCAGCGGTTAAGAAGTTATAAGCAAAACAATAAATATAATAATAATAAAAAACATGTTTTTTAATATAGTGAGATAAATATTAAGTTTACAACAAAAGTGTAAATACAAGAAAGATAGGGTGTAAAAATATCTTTCAAACAAAAAATAAATCATCCTGATCCATTAAACGGTTCGCGAAATATACGCATTCAAAAATTGCTGAGCCGCCATCTTGATGACGTCATAGCTCGAAAACGTACCAGGTGCGAACTTGACACCCGAGTGGAAAACACTTCCTAAGACACCTATATTGAAATGCAAAAGTAAAATTCACTATACACGACATGCACACAGAACCCTAGTCAGGTCCTGGACTAATAAGGCCAATGTTAAATTTTAAAATGAATTGTGTAACGAAATATGAATTTTCCTGAGTTAGTAGCTGTCGTCGATCACGTTTTTAAGGCTGTAAGTCCTAATTCCAAAATTTACTCAAAATCCTGCTGGATTTTGATTTCCTGCTGAAAAACTTTTTACAGATAGACAGATATACAAAAAGACTTTGCTCGCATTAGAGTATAGGATTGTAAGAACCACATTTTGACCCTATCATCTCAAATAAAGTGATCACTTTGTAACTTTGTGTAACCCAACTAGAGGTGTGCGGATAGTGAAATTTCATTTCGGATCGGATAGTTGAGGCTCGGTTCGGATCGGATTGGATATTGGGAGGTTCGGATTCGGATATTTTCGGATTCGGATAGTTCGGCGCGGTTAATAATAAGCTGCATATGTATTTTTAACCTATAAAACAATGTTAAGCTGTGTAAATAAACTTAAATGACGATTTTGAACTATAGAATTTCAAATTAGCCAAGTCAACAGTTTTCTCTCTCTTGAAAATCACAATTCACAACATTTATTTTCAAAAGTTGGTTGCTTGAATTAAGTACACTAACAGCCGAAATGTTCACACAACACCATAGCTCAGCAGGACTGATGTCAAACGTTTGGGTTTGTTTACTTGAGGTTATGTTTTATCTTGTTTCCTGGTTCTCACAAGCCAAGGAGTTCGATCTCAAGTTTATTTTCACATTGTATTTCCTTACATTTTTGGAACGGATTATTGGCCTTAAGTGGCATTTTGCGGGTTTGCCAAGTTTAGAAAACATCACTAATGCACTAAGATGGGCTCTAGCTCACAATTTGATGTTGGGCAATTAAATTAGACTTTATAACTGTGTAAAAGGTGTGTATCCCTGAATTTATAAATTGCATTCTACACTTATTCACTGCCAAACATAATTCAGTAGAACCTTGATGAACCGAGAATTACACTAGCCTACATAACTTCATTACCCCAAGTAAAATACCAAGATAATTTTTATAATTGTATTTGAATCTGAATCATATAATCTTAGTTTGTTAAAAATGGATTGTATGTTCAACAATAATTGCAGTCCATTATTGTTAAGCAGTATGGTCCCAAATTATTGTTTTTGATTTTAAAACATCACAGTTCATTTGACAAAATTAGTTAAAGCAGCCCAATGTCAAGTCACGATTGTGCAATAGTTTGTTTACAAGCTTTCTCCAGTCCACGGGGGAGGGGAGGGTCTGATAAGCCGTCTATTGTTCACCCCCAAGAAGGTCCGACCCTCATTAGTGCCGCTCGGCTGCACTCAGTGGGGAACCCAATACCACAAATCAATCTTTTAAATGAATACAAATATTTGTAATAATTGTTTTATTAATATTCACCTTGAAATTTCAATAAATTTGGTGTAAAATTTGACAAAAATCGGCCATTTTGACCGATTATTAATACAGTACCAAATACCAATAAAGTAGTACATTCATTGGTAATTAAATAATAGGTAAAAATTAACCAATTTTCGTCAAGTTTTACCCCCCTGCTGTGCGCTATGTCACAAAAGCTGATAACGACATGGGTGATTAGTAACCATGGCAACTTGTTGAATGCGTGATGAAGGGAAACCCAAGAAATAGAAGATCAAAGAGAAAGAATAACGACGTTCGTATCTTTATACCCTTTTTACAATTTCCGTTATTGTTATCTTTATGTAAGATTTTATGATTTTGTTTTATAGGTTTATAAAATAATTCTTTTTAACTACGGGAATATCAATTTATAATTATTTATCAACGTGCTACTATTCTGAAACAGCAATACCGGATGCATAATAAAGGTCAATGACCTAAAATATCAAGATTGTGCAATATTGTATTTTGATGTTGAAATTAAAATCACGACAAAAGTTTGTATATATCCATGGTCCCTATAGTTTTAAAATTTAATATGTACACAATCAATGCTAAATAATCGTGGTTAGTTCTAACTTTATTTTTTATTATTCAAAGTTTCTACACAGTAAGACAATCCAAAGTCAAACCGGGCAATGAATACCCAAAAAACAATGTATCTTGTCCTGTGATTGGAATACCACTCGCCGGCCAGTCCTTTAGGTTTAGGGAAGTAGTGCAAGTCTATATATAGCTTCAAGGTCTTACCCACCCCTTCCCCCTCCGGTCCTACTTGACTCACTACCCGCGCTCCTTTCGAGGCCATTGCCCAACCCCTCCCACCCTTCTATTGTGTTGCCTTTCTATTGTTTCTATTCTGACTTTTTTTTCGGGAAACATTAAATCTATTGTTTACGTAACATCACAGTAGTAGGCTAGATTTTTCTACTTTGAAACAGTACTGTAAAAAAAAACTATTACGCAGCACCCCTAGTATCAGGAGCGAGACAAGCACGAGTTGACTTTCATTTGACCATGGTAGTTCTTTTCTGCTTTATGTCTGTTCGTTCCAGACGAATCTAATCGTAAAGCAAAACAGCCGATAACGACTAAACTAGCTATCAGTATTGCATCATACGGCTTCTTTGCCATTTGCTGTTAGGTCATTGGAAACGTATTGCTGTAATTTTGTCCTGGGAAACTAATGGTGGCTATGGAGATTTAGTTTTCTGTCCAAAACGTCAAAATATATTGTCTATCCGAAAAAGTCGGATATATAACGGATAGTGTCGGATATCGAATCCGACCCGATTTTTCGGATATCCGCACACCTCTAAACCCAACACAACAATCGACACCCTATCCACTTAAGTTGCTACATAAAGGGCGGCAACAAAGTCTTCTTTTTTCTTGTACCAAATTAGTGGTACAAATTTCACGCACTATTGTGTTTCAGAACAGCTTTGATTATACGTTCATTTTTATTAAAGACCACTTAGCTAACGTGTAACTTAACTTTTCATTTGTATCTTTTTAAGAGCTTTAATTCAAGCTTTCACCGTAGTTTCTAACTTGTTCTGTCCCTGAAATAAAGTGCCTTTACAAAAACCATAACAGATTTTTTTGATTGACAAAAAATTTTAAAACTTTTAAATATGCTTTATATAATGTTCTAAAAGCTATCAAAATTTCATGACGATTAGATCAGTAGTTTTAGCGAATTTCCCATATAGGGAATAAGCTATTACCGTAGGTCTCATGGTGAGACCTAGACCCGGGACCGATTTACTTTTTCGTTTTGAGGTCCCCAGAGGCCAAAAACACCATCCGTTCAAATTCATATATATATATATATATATATATATATATATATATATATATATATATATATATATTTATATATGTGTCCGTTAGCGCGATAACTCAAGCAAAATTGATCCGATTTAGATGAAATTTGGTACAAACGTGTAAACCTACATTTATTCGAACGAGTTCGCGAACCAGCATAATCGGACCATGGGATCAGGGGTTAATGGGGGGTTGTATGGGGTGAAAATGGGTTTTTCTCATTTTTGACCCTAAAAACTTTAAATTTCTAAATTTCTCTCTAGACCATTTTGAAGAGCTTAAAAAAACAAATAATTTAGTATATTGAAGTGTTTTTGAATGTTCATTGACTACGGAGAAAATTTAAAAAATTGTAAATTGAAAATTCCAATGTTATTCTTATGGAGAATAAATCAACTGTTTTAGTTTGCTTGTTTATGGATATATTTTAATCAAATTTGGCAATTTGGTTTATTTCATACTAAGCTATCAATATTTCAATTGAAAAAACACACCTCAACATCTTCCCCGTAGCAGCAAACCTAACTACTCACTAAAATTAATGTTATTTAAATAGGAAATAAATCTGAAAATTTATAGGGAATATTTTAGAAGAAATCAAGCCGGGTAAATGGAAATTCGCTTAGTATGCAGATTTGCTGCAACGGGGATATTTTTGTTATAAAAAGTTAAAGTCGCTCGTTGTTGGAAAAGTGCTGAAAAACCTGTACTTTTTCATTTAATCCGTTGAAAGGCTGAGTTGAAACTGCATAACAAATTTGAAACCAACACACATAAAGGCAGAAATAAATTTGTAAAAATATTATGTAACTTGTATTTTTCTAAGTCTACTGGTTACGTTGCAATAAAAGCTCAAACTCGAGTATTTATACTTTTTGACTTTACAGTTAGACCAGCTTGCTTCCCAGTGCTCAGATGCTGAACTGCTTTATATTTGTAAAAGTGACAAGAATAAGAACTAGTACTGTAATTTAAATGCCAAACCCAATTAAAATGTTATCTATTATCTAAGTATTTCAATTAAATTTCAAAATCCTCCAAGGATATTATTAATAACTTAGTAATATTTATTCAATAAGGTGGTGAGAACTGCTTCTCTAATAAAGATCTATCTTTACTAGTAGTTTGTGTTGATAGCTACCACTTGCCATCAGTGCGTATCTTGACAGTGGAACCACTACGGGCCGGTCGACCCTGTGAGATCATCCTTAAGTTGACCAACCCTACGCAGCACCTTACCTCGGTGCAATTCTGTCCACTTCCCACGGAAGAGGAAGAGCTGCGCGATCTTGAGATTGAGATGGTTCGACTCTTCAGTAAAGATGGAACTGTAAGTAAGAAGAACAGTGTTTGGATTGTACTGTAAAAGAGCTGTGTCTATGCAAACATACCACATTCATAATTAACACAAAAAAAATTTGATAACTAAATGCCACTTTTTTGATCAAATGTTTTTAAGTGTAAAAAAGTAGGGGTCTGTGGTGCCCTGAAAAATTCAGTACGGTATGGTACAATTCTGTTCTATTTTCCACCATCGGTTCAGTAGTTTTCCTCAATACAATTCGGTACAGCCTACAGTAATTAATTACCTACTTTCAATTCACTATTGTTGTCAAAAAGTAGTTTTTTCCTAGTCAAAGATTAATACTTGTGGGACAAGCGAGATTGCACAAAAGATTTACAAAGTTACCACACAATGTTAGCAGGCGGCTTGAAGACACGATGTAATTAAGTATAGTTTAAATAGGAACACGATAGCCTTAGCAGCTGACAAAGTCATAATCCCACTTATTATAATTCTCATTAAGTTACATAGAACAACGGAGTATTCAGTTTAGATATAACTTTTTCTAGGCTATAGTACTGTTAATAATAATGCGCTATAAGTTTATAACCAGAGCAGTAAGATTATAGATATTGTACAACATTATAAATTAATTTTATATTACTGAAGTCTCTTTTTACTTACTTAACCTCCGGTCTTTCATTTCGTCAAGCTATTGGCCATCTGTTGAATGTAATCAGCTGAAACTATGGATGTGTTTGTACCAAAATATACACTGCACCACTGTATGTTTTTTAAATATTAATTTAAACATCCTGTTACTGTGTTGATTAGAATAATGTTTTATTTTATTCATTGCTTTAGACAATAATTGTTATTGCACTAGCAGGGTACCTGTTCTTCCCATGGGGTTGGGAAGGTATAAAGTGCTTATTGAAGTTTTACTCAAGCTCTGCGTTTGCAATGGGGGAGGACATGGTTTGAGAAAGTTTTTTTCTTTAAATTTACGTTATGCTATAGTATAACACATTTACCATAGCCATAATGTTCTACCACTGCACCTAAGCAATAGAAAAATATAAATTAATCATCAAACATTCCCACAATATCACAAATTATTAACACGACACTCCACCTCAGATTTGCAATTAATACGATGGCTCTTTTTTTGAAGCCTAAACGCTCTTTTACAATCGTAATCCATAGGAAAGATGGCGATGAATGAGGCCATAACAGGCCATGACTAGGTCTTGTGTTGAACATGAAGGCTTGAGATTACGTAAGGTAAAAATCTCTTTTGCAATTTTTGGACAGATGTTTTCTACATGATCTTGCCAGTTAAGCACTCTATCCCTAAGAACTTTTTGGAATCAACCTTTTTCAGGCAGGTATCATCCACCATTACAGTTGGCGTTGACTCGTCATCATGGCGGCAAAGGGAAAAATTTATGTACGTTGTTTTTGACTGATTCGTGTTCAAATTTTGACCCAAATCAAAGACCCTTAAGATCTTTGATCTGCAAGTTGACACCTGGACGTACTGGGTTTTACCCGCAAAGTAAGATCCCAGCCACAGAATTAGGACTTCACGAATGCCACAGAGTCCAGTTTCCACGCAAAAAAAAAGTTTAAACTTATGAAATTAAGTTTAATAAAAGTTGGTGTAAAACTTACAAAATTCAGAGAGATCAGTGAGTAGGCCTACCGAAAAGACAATACTTATTAATAAGAACTTAAAAATGAAAAATTAACTTTTTGTAATAAAATATTACTAGATAAATTAATTGTGAAATAAATACATCTGTAAATAAAAACTCATTATAAATTAGATTCATTAGATTCATCTATACATCGGGACGTAATCGATGCATCGGTTTTTCCTTTTCATCGGGACCAAATCGATGCATTGAGACCAAATCGATGCATCGAGACTAAATCGATGAATTGAGACTAAATCGATGCATCGGTATTACAATGCAAGCTGAATCAAAATTTAGATGCATTTTCAATGCTTCACACACCACTAGTCTTGGGAGTATATTATTTTTTGGTCGGCCTCATACTGTTCAGGTAAGTTTAAAACAACAGATGAAGCAAATGTACAATGACCACATTAATGTTAAATGTTGCCATCAGGTATTGTAAGCTTTCCTCTGTTGGTTGTACAGAAGCCAGGAGGAGGCAGGGACAGTCTAGTGCTACCATCCATAGGCCAGCAGTCGTCTGTGCCGCTAACTCCACGACGTGTGCAAGCCACACTGACAGCTGCACTGTCATTACCTCCAGGAGGTGTCATTCTGCCTCCGCGGGATGATGCTGCTGAATACGATGACTCTGGGGATACTCATAACTTTGGAGATGATACCAAGTATGTACTTAGCTGGGGAATCGTAAGTGTAACACTGTGTATTTGTCATAACCAGGGGGGCGGACAACCCAGGGTACCAGCGTAAGGGTGGTGACAAACATTTTTAAGAAAAAATCAAAGTTCGTTGAGATAAGTGCACCTAAAGTATGGAAACTTCAGGTGTGAGAGCGGTTTGTTTATTGAGCCAAACTGAGCTAATAGCCTTGTTAACATGTTTACTTGTTGAATTGTTTATGTTTACTTACAGATTGTGATTTAATAAACTTACTTGCTATTTCCTTATACAAAATGTGAACTTTTATTAGTAAAATTAGTGGAATCAACAATGGCGATGAGTAAAATGGTAAGTAGAAAAGAATTTGACTTATGTCCAAAGAAAGGGAAATTAATAGAACTACGCTTGAACAAACTCAAGGATGATTTACCAACATGTGAATATTCTCAAGATACATGCACTTACTACATATATAAACTTTTAGCAATATGGACTGAAATTGAAGTTACACTGTCAAATATTGATCTTCACACGAATTCAGTAGAAAGTGAATTCGAAATTCGATGGCAGTTAGAAAAAATATAGAGGGATAGAGACATTTCTTGAAGTAGAAAAGAAATAGCCCAGTCAATCTAGGTTTTTACCCGGAAATGCGAGATATAAAGCTAATTTTTTGCACAGATGTCCGTTATGGTATGTAAAATCACACCCTAAAAGTCCCCGCCCGTCCCCTGTGTGCTTCTCCCATTTTAGCGAAATTAAGGGGGGGAGGGGGCGCAACTTATTTAAACGTGTCCGTGAACGCGATAACTTGAGTAATTTTGGTCCGATTTTGATTAAATTTTGCTTGAATTTGTAAGATGGGATATTCTTAAATGAGTTGGCAAATCAGCATGATCGGACCATGGGAACCATGGGATTCGGTTTTATGGGGTAAAAATTGAATTATCTCATTTTTGACCCTCAAAAAACAAACATTTCTAATTACTCTCTGAACCACTTTAAAAAGCTTAAATAATCAAATATTTTAGTATATTAAAGCGTTTTTGTGAGATTATTGGTTACGAAGAAAATTCCAAAAAATTATAAATTTAAAATTCCCATGTTATTCTTAAGGAGAATAAGTTAGCTGTTGTAGTTTGCTTGTTTACGTACATATTTTCATCAAACTTGGCAAATCAAGTTAATTTATACTAAGCTATTGATATTTTACTAAAAAAACTCATATCGTTACCCTCCCTGTAGCAGCAAACCACGTACTTGTTAGGCATAATGTTATTTAAATAGACTTTATTAAAAATCCAATTGGGCAAATGTAAATTCACTTAGTCTGCAGGTTTGCTGCGGCTGGGGTATTTTCATACAAAGTTCCACTGTCCTAAATTTACTTTATCAATGGTTTTTGTCAAAACAACACTTAATTTCCCCCTTAAAAAGTATATTTAAGCTGGCAATAGTACAAATTAACTCCAGAATAAACTTGGACCATGGTCTAAAAACATAACATAAGCATGGTATTCAATAAATAATGTACAGGATACAGTAATATTTAACAGTTTTTCTATTATATATTTTAAGTACCATGAGAAAAGATTACTAACATAAAATAAAGTTTGTTCTTTAGATGTATAGTAGTAGGCTATATCCATATTTTCCATCTAAAAAGGCGTCCATGATAAAAAGGTTACGTGACGAGACCACCCCCCACCACCGTGCCAGGCCAAACCGAACACTTCCGAATCATACCGAAAATAGGTGAGGTCCTTTAGAACACCGAGTATCATCTGTCTGGAAACGGTAGAATTAAAATCGGAACGGAGCTAAGGAGCAATTTCTTCCAATCCCGAGCCCTCTTTAAACACTGATAGGAACTGAATAATCATTTAATGATGTTATGTAATTAATTAAGTATTATGAATTATTTGTAGACTAATTTTTAACAGTTTCAAATACCTACATATAAGTCAAACTAATCCTTCGATCTTCCTCAATATATATAATATCCTGATCAAAAAATTCTCCTTTGTATCCTGGAAAATAAATTATGAAAATCAATCTTCCGATATTTAGGCAAACATTCTAAATAAATGTTGAAACATACTTTATTGTTAAATGCAATATGTGAAAATATATTTTTTTACTTTTCTATAAACAATGAAGTCAGTATATATATTTTTTTAAACATATACCTCATTCTAATTATTACCTACTGTTAGTATCTATCCGTAGTATTATCTAAATTTATTGACCAAATAAATAAATGTATAACAATTAATAAAATTAATATTGTAACTATGTTACTCGTTATTTCCTTCTTTATAATAAAAATATAGGAAGAAAACAAAATTATGCCATTCTAAATATACAGGTTGGCCTATATAGAGCCATGAACAAAAATAGTAATTTATATGCCCAATGTTAAATTACTGAAGAAGATCTTCAAAACTTATTTCTTCTACAAATAATTCAACAATAATATTTAGATTTATTTACAAAGATCTATTTACAATCTCCTTCACCTTGGAAACTGGAACATAACAATTTAATGTTTGGTCTATTATGAGGACCAGGGCGTTTTGACAGCAACAGTGACGGTTCAGCTATGCTCTACGATTCGGAAGTGTTCATCACTGCGCGGTGGTGGGGAGTTGTTCCTCCAGAGAAGGTCTCGTTGCAGGATAATCAAATTTATGATTTTTGATTGAGTAATACAATATCTTGAGCTTAAATGATTCAAACAATCAATAGCTCAAATTAAATACTATAATTTTCTGATTAATTTGAGACTAAAACATATAGAAAAACATTAACAATACTGGAGCTATTGATTTTTACACATAGTAAAACCTTATGAAAAATAATTTTTATGACGTTCACCTTGCGTTTGCTTGAAACTTGTCCGATTTGAATAACTAATAGCTTAAGAAAGCCAGTATTTCACTGAAGGTTCTTAGATAAATATATATAGGATTGTAAAATTATAACTGGTGAAGGTACATCTTAAATTGAAGAGTTAAATAAATCACATTATGTGTTTCGGTCGAGTAGTACAGTAGGTAAATATTTGCCGATGCTTTATGTGAAAACTTGGCATGCATGCCTTCAATTTGAGACCTCGATCATGAAAATCGATCGGGTAGAAGAGCCAAACGAACTCGGAAAAACCAAATTTATCTTCCATAAGAAATACATGGGGAGCAAATTTCGTTTACGTATATGCCAATTGGGTTTATAGATAAATATATGCCGATGCTTGATGGCAAATCTGTGCGTGCATACCTTCAATTTGAGACCTCAATCAAGAAAATCGGTCGGGTAGAAGAGCCAAACGAACTCGGAAAAGAAAACCCAAATCTAACTCCCATAAGAAATACATGGGGAGCAAATTTCGTTTACGTATACGCCGAGTGGGTTTATAGATAAATATATGCCGATGCTTGATGGCAAGTCTGTGCGTGCACACCTTCAATTTGAGACCTCAATCATTAAAATCGGTCCAGTAGAAGAGCCAAACGAGCTTGGAAAATAAAACTCAAATTTAACTCCCTTAAGAAATACATGGGGAGCAAATTTCGTTTACGTATACGCCGAGTGGGTTTATAGATAAATATATGCCGATGCTTGATGGCAAATCTGTGCGTGCATACCTTCAATTTGAGACGTCAATCATGAAAATCGGTCGGGTAGAAGAGCCAAAGGAACTCGGAAAAGAAAAACCAAGTTTTTTTATGTATAAGATTCGCCCCCTCCCCCTTTTTTCTTTATAGCGGAAGAAGCACACAGGGGACGGTAGGGGACTTTTAGGATATGGTCAAGGATATCATAAAGAACATCTGTGCCAAAATTCTGCTTTATATCTCACATTTCCGGGTTTCCATGATTTTTTACCTAGATTGACTGGGCTAAAAAAGTACAATACACATGCAGCAATGTCTGCTTCTGTAACATCTCAAAATGTATGTGAAGAAATTATGCAAGTTGAAAATACTAAATTTCTTGGCCTTATCATTGATAGAAATCTAAGTTGGGATCTGGACGTGGATAATGTCTTAAAGAAAATTAACTCAGGAATCTATGCCATCAGAAGACTGTATTATCTCTGCGATATGAATGTATTAAAAAGTGTTTATTTTGCCAATGTTCAATCCCATGTTTCTTATGGGATCTGTGTCAACGGTGGAACATCTGCTCAAAATTTGACAAAGATACTAATTGGACAGAAAAGAGCATTAAGGGCCATATTAAACTTTAAGAACAATGAATCTGTCAAAACTTTCTTTACTAAATTTGAAATTTTGACTGTTTACAGCTTATACATTTTAGAATGCATAATGTTTGTAAAAAATAATATAAATAGTTTTATTACAAATAAAGATATCCACAGCTATAACACTAGGAATAAAAATAAAGTAGTATTACCAAATCATAAATTAGAATTGTTCAAAAGAAAAACTTCATACAACGGTATCAGATTCCTAAATCACATACCAGATCACATAAGAAGCATGCAGGATGATAGAGGTTTCAAAGTGAAATTGAAAGAATTTTTGATACAGAGGGCACTTTATTCATTTGATGACTTTTTAAAGTTTAGAACAGATAATAGATCTTAAAATTCAGACCAACCATTGCAACCTGGAGTAGTGTGATCAATACTGTCCTACTAATAATTTTGATTGTAGCCTACCTATTCATGTAATTATTTTAATGTTAATTGTTTGACACTATTCATGTAAACATGTATTTACAAATATGAATAAAGATCTTTTGATTTGATTTGATTTGATATGTAATACTACTAATACTAGTTAACTGCTCGTGCTTCGCCACGGGAATATTGTCAGCAATAAAAGATATAATAATTAACAATTACGGTTTATCTTTGTATTTTATTTAGGGGCTGCTTAATTTTTTTTTTACATGAAGTAGAACGGATATTTGGCCTGTATAAGAAGAGTTGTATGATCTTATATTATTCAAATCGTTTTTTGGACGTTTTTTTGTT